ATAATTCATCTTCCATGGGAAGCGTAGTATCATCGGCGTGTTGTACACATTTAATTTCTTTTTCCAATGACTTAATTTTGAAACCTTTTATATCTTTACAATTGTTTATTTTCAAATTTAGTATTTCCATTACGAATAAAAAAAGTAACGCAGATACTGGACATCCCTGTCTAATTCCACGTTTCATTTGACATTTTCTTGACAACCATCCATTGTTCTTTACATAAAAGAAGGGGTTTTTATAAAATATTTGAATCCATTTTATGAAATTAGGTCCAAAATTGAATTTCTCTAGAGTTTTAGATAGGAAATTCCATTCAACCGAATCGAAGGCTTTATGAAAATCAGCAAAGAGTAAAATGCCCTCCTTGTTATTATTTTCGCAGTATTCTAGAATATCTACGATAAGTCTAGCATTATTACCAATAAATCTACCTTTATATATCCTGTCTGGTTTTCATTTATAGCGGTATCTATGACATTTTGTAGTCTTCTAGCGAAAACAAAAGCTATGATTTTGTAATCTATATTAGTTAGACTGATAGGTCTGTAATTCTCTAATTTGTCTAGAGACCCTTTTTTATGAATAAGGGATAATATAGAACATTTTTGTGTATTTGAAAGTTCACCTAGTTCAAAAGAATAAATTAGAGCATTGTAAAAATATGTTTTTAAGTGCTTCCAAAACATTTTGTAAAATTCTACTGGTATACCATCATTTCCAGGGGATTTATTTTGTTTCATATGGTAAATTGCCTCAGCACATTCTTTTAAAGAAGGAAAGTTTTCAATTGTTTCTCTTTTTTCATCTGTTATTTTACTTTCAAGATTTATTTCACTTAAATAGTTATCAATGCATTCATCAGAAACATGTTTACTCGAGTAGAGATCGTCATAAAATGAGCTAAGTTGTTTCAAAATTTCATCTGTTTTAGTGTATATTTGTCCATTGTCAACAATGGTGACAATCCTCGCGTAAGAATTACTTCAGTCCTTTTTTTATATTCTTGTGTAAGTTGTTGTTAACTTTGTTGATTACATTGTGAGATTGGTGTTTATTTTCCAGTCTAAGAAAATATGACGTATTTTTTTCCCCTTCATCAATCCATTTTGCTCTAGATCTGATTTGTGCGCCTTTAGCTTTGTATTTATATAATTCGTCTAACTCGTTTTCTAGTTCTCTCTTTTTTTTAACGTCAATATGTGTGTAATTCCTATTTTCAATCTCCTCAATTTCTTTTTCAAGTAGTTGGATTTTATTTCTTATCGTTTTACCTTTTTGTTTACAAAAATTAATGCTTAAATTTCTTATATGTATTTTTATTAATTCCCATTGAGTATGCGGATTTTCCTCATTTTCTATTTCATCTGGAAGGTTATTTAAAAAGTCATTTATTGTTTTGACGTAATTTGTATCATTCAAAATAGATACATTTAATTTCCAAAAGCCTTTTCCTCTAGTGTTACATGATATTTTAAATTTAAAAACTATTGACATATGATCACTCATTCTACAAGTATTAACATTTGGGGCTTTGCGTAAAAAAATGTTCTCTGGAGCGTAACAAAAATGTTTGCTTGCTATGACATAATCAATTTGACTTTTGGGTGACCCATTTCCATCACACCACGTTAGACATTTTTTTTCAGGTTTTAGTTCCGACCACATATCAAACAAATCAAATCTTTGCATTATCTCCCTTACTATTTTCCCACTTTTATCTTTTTCATTCTTTACATTACAATTGAAATCTCCAGCAAATATCAGATTTTCTTCATTCATAGCATATTGTGATATCCACTTAGTAACTTTTTTAAAGAAGCTAATTCGTTGGGTTTCTAAATTTGGGGCATAAACATTGACCAAAGTAATAATATTGTTGTCATGTTCAATATTCATTAATAAGATTCGACTATCAGCAGACTTGTGTAAATTTAGGGTTTTGAATGTAAAATTTTTATGAAAAAATATTGACACACCTTTACTATGCGAAGATTCAGAAAAATTATGAAAAGCAGAACCATGCCACCTCGAATCATAGATACTCTGCTTTTTATCAACAAAGTGTGTTTCCTGTAATAAAATAATATCACATTTTTGACAGTTTAACCATTCATACAGAATTACTCTTTTATCATTACTATTTAACCCTCTACAGTTCAGAGATAAAAACTTAACACAAGCCATAGTCTTGGTCGCGTTTTGAGTTAATAATTAAATTTTATCTATTTGATTTACCAGACTTCTTTACGAACCCATCCAGATCTTTCTGCTCAGATTTGTTGGCATTCCCTTTCCTGGTCCGCGATCCCGTGCGTTGGGTGTTTTGCTGAAGGGACTCCGCAACATGTTGTAGTATCTTACCCATGACGTTTTGCCCCGGCCATGCCTTGGGTTTGGTGTGCAACGTTTGTGTAGAGTTGAGACCGGTTCCCCAATACTGGTCGTACACGGAATGCGCAAAGATCTTTTCGTTAGTATATACCTGCATAATTTTCTTTTTCATCTCAGAAACTTGTTTCACTTTTTCTAGCACAATTTCCTCCACTTAGGCGCGTCCTGTTGCCAGGATCCGGATGCTTGGACGGATTTACCGATCTGTTTGCATTCCAGTGCAGATTTTGCTGCTCGGATCTTCTCCGCTGCCATAAGATCGCCTGCTCGCACTGCTTTAGTGACCTGGAATGCTTGCTCGGCGGAATTAAAAATTTCCCCGAACACTTTGAGATCACACGCAAAGAAATTTGATATTACATTTTCCTGACCATCGAACGCCTCAACTTCCTTAGAGTTGTCTTCGATGTATTGCGGACAGAGATCGGATCCAGGTTTATGGCCTGCGTCCTTGCAAGCAGAACACCGCGGATTGTTTTGGCACAATTTGAATGAATGACCAGTTTCGCAGCAATTTGTGCAGGTTATTGGAGGTTTTTCGAAATTTTGCCCTCGATGGAAGATCTTACATCGAAGACCTGCGCAGTAGCTGAAACGAGGCAGGGCCTTGTTTTGCTCAAGGGGTTCTATATAAAGGAATCTGTTGCCATTTAGAACGTTGGTTATTTTATTTGTTGTAGGATTTCTAATCTTTTCGAATTTAATTTCGCTTTTTGGATGCACTCCTAGCTTTCTGAGCATATCATGTATAGCGGAGTCATCCACGGAGAGTGGAATGCCGCATATCGTAACTTTCAGGACTGGGTCTTCTGGATCAGTAAGACCAGCTGAGTAGGGATTCGATTCGTACACTCTCACATGTTGATTGTTGAGATCAAATCCGTCAATGATAAGTTTATCTCGACTTTGTTTATCATTCAAGTAGATTCGCCAGAGGTCACGGTCCAATTGGACGCATTTAACCGTGTCCCCTATTGTTACGCTTACTGCATCTAATAAACCAAAGTTTGTAATTCTTTCATTGTTTGATTTTGGCAGTTCACTATCTTTTAGAAAGACTGGTTTCATTAATTTGTCCATGTTGTATACCGACGAAGTTCAATGAATGCCACAAGTTTTGAAATACTTGGATAATAGTAGTGAGTAGATACTCACCGATGCGTCGTATAAACACGTTGAGACAAAGTCCTCACAAAAGTTACAAAAGTTTCAGCTTGAAATGCAAATAAACAAATGAATATCACAAACATTCACACTATATACACTTTTCGCGCAGAAATCTGCACTCCAGAAGCGTTTAAACTTCCAAAATTGTCAAAAAGACGGGAGCTAGAAGAAAAGCGTCCTTCCACCTACTCGTCACGTGACCTCCTCTTCTCATAATTTCTAAAATTTCAATAATTATAAGTTAATTTAAATAATCAATTCACATATTTAATATGATTTCTTAATATCTGACACTATAGGCATTCTGCCCGCCTTGTTCGCCCATCTTCTTTTTGATGCCCTGTTCACACGACGAGTTTAATTCGCAGTAAATTAATGCGAAGTAAACTAATGCGAATCAAACTAATGCGAATTAAATTGCGTTCACACGACAACTAATGCGAAGTAAACTAATGCGAATTAATTTTTTTCTTCTACAGTCAGGCGTCAGTAAGTCTATTATGACGTCATTTGTAAATCACGTCATGTACGCAGAGCCATCCTTTGATAAATCATGTAGTGGCTACAGGTATTCATTGATTTTAGTGATTAACATACTTTCCCTCAATTTTTGAACCAAATATAGCACAAATACCTATATATAACCACCAACACGTGTCCTGTGACTTAATTCTGGCCTTACGCATGCGTCAAAATTTAATTCGAATTAGCTTCGCTTAGCGTTCACACGGAGCTAATGCGAAGTAATTTAATGCGCAGTAAATTAATTCGAATTAAACTAATTCGCATTAAATTCTCCGTGTGAACGCTAAGCGAAGCTAATTCGCAGTAACTTTACGTTTAATTCGAATTAAACTCTCCGTGTGAACAGGGCATGAGAATGGCCCTATACGGTATATAAAAATACTAGTAATTTTATGTATCGTTCAGGGCCATCTCATGTGTTTTTGTATCTAATAAAAATTCTCAAAAGCTGGGGTGGGGGTAGGGGGAGTCACCATCCATTCTCCAGGTACCTGTGATGAAATACGGACCCCTGGATATTTCAAATAACTGTTAGTCCAATCTGAACCAAACTACATGGATGGTCGTAGCCTGGTCTTTATAGAGAAAATTATTCAGTTAGAAAATTAGAACCGGAGAACTAATTTTTTAACTGATTTATTTTCTCTACACAAACCCCTGTGTGATAATTTGTCAAAAAAAACCAAGTTTTAAAACTCAATGAGACGCCAACGCCGATACCGGAGCAATATTCTCTACTGAGAAGTCGACGGCTCGTTTCAATACTCCCCCTCAAGTTGCGGGGGAGTATTGAAACGAGCCGTCGACTTCTCAGTAGAGAATACCGGAGCAAAAGCACACCTCACTCTCGACTTTGATTGAGCGCTAAAAACAATCCGGAAACTTTAGGCTTAGTCGTATCCACTTCGTATAGTATAATCTCCGTGCTTAAAATAGGAAATGCAGACGGGTCGCAACACCATCAAACGTTTTCTGCAAACCAAAAACTTTCTTCAACAATCGTTAGAAAAATGCATCATATTACAACGTGTCTTCTCAAACAGTGCAACACAATCAACAGATTGGTGGGAGATATATCACAGGCAAAAGAAGAAACTGGAGGGTAAAATCAATGTCAACATCGAACTTTCGATTCATTGTTATCATGGGACTTTACATCCAAAATTGAAGTAAAGTCTAGAGAATCTTGCATGCCTTATCATGCGTTTACCACGTGCTGAGTGGAAATGATACATATTTCAATTTATGCAGTAGAATCTTGTTTCTGTTCTCTAACTCTAAGTCTTTGTCAGGTCCAGTACAATCTCTTGATTTAGCTATATAGCTTTAAATAGCTATATAGCTTTATTAAACTATTCAAAATAGCTTTTATATTTAGCTAATATATACAGTTTTTCACAAAAAATGTTTTTTGCTGAAAATAAACAACTAGTCGCATGTATTTGACTCTTCATACATGTACTATGGACTATTAAAACAACAACCGAAATCAAAGAAGATAGTTCTAACTTTGCAGCTTTTGAATACTTTAAAGCAAAAAGAGAATTTCTATTGTTAGACTAACTGTCCACTACCTTGGGTGCCTTGAGGCAAGGAAAAGTATGATTGCTTCTCATTGTGCTGAACTGTTACCAATCAATTATCCTTTTGAACATAATTTGTCTCCATTATGATATCATTGCAGAAGTAACTGTATCAGTTGCTTTATATAGCCTCAAAACTTGCAGAACTTTGAGTACAAAGTCTCTCAAGGAGATGTAATTTGATGAGTGATTTTTACATGCATTATTTTAAAAAGAGTTCAAAGTTGTATATCATCACTGCACCAAGGTGCGCTTTTTTGTACATAATGAGAAAATTACACCTTTAAGAAAAAAGTGTAGTAAAATAGCTAAATTAAGCTATACTGAATAGCTTAATAAAGCTATATAGCTATTTAAAGCTATATAGCTAAATCAAGAGATTGTACTGGACCTGTTTGTGTTACTTGTCAAGGCACTTAATGTTGCCTCTGGCTCTGAAATTGAAAATATTGTGTTTTTCAACTTTGTATGTGACTTTTCTTGTTGGATGGGGGTGCCGATGGGGATAAGGTATTCCCTTTAGAGAAGTGGACAGGCTTTCGCCTACATCCACTTTTCTTTGCAGCCTTCATGACTTTTTTTCTGGAAAACATAACACACAGAACGCGATGAGGTGACAGCCTACGCTTCAACTGACATCTTTTGTCTGAAATGTGTTTGGTTATACGTAACAGACATACAGATCTTTTATCCATATTTACAAGTTTTCATTCCCAGATTCAAACTAATGCTTTTCTACCATAATCGAAAATCCTCGGCTGACAACGCTATGCTCCATGCAGTGTGCAAGGCACAACCCATATATAGAATTTTTTGCTCAAAATTTAAATCCCAGATGGAAAACTTGTGAAAATGGATTAATAATACGTAAAGGTTGGTTTTCCTGTGACATTTGTTTGTATTTATGTTGAAATTGTTAATTTAACACATCTCTTATGTAAAATCAGACTAGTTCAGACAAAATATTAGTTAAAGTGTAGGCCATCACCGGTTCTACATTTTACACGTTTTCCAGCAAAACAACATGAAGGCTTATGTGACGAGAAGTGGATGTAGGCGAAAGCCTGTCCAACCTCTGAAGAGAATAGGGATGAGGGGTAATTTGTAGTGTGCTCTGTGAAGCAAATGAGATTTACGTGTAATTAATAATTAAGTGCCCCCAAATATTAAAAAATCAATGGGAGCTGTATCAACACTTATTGCAGGTTCATTCTATGCTTCTAAAAATTTTAATTTTCAGAGAGTTTCAACGATCCTGTGCATATAAACCCTCATGCTATATTTGCCAACAATGAGACATCTTTAAGTGAAATTGACATCTATGGCTTTGACTATGACTACACATTGGCATGTTATAAGCCAGAATTACATCATCTGATTTTCGAATTGGGGCGGGATGCTCTCATTCAAAAACATCGGGTAAGTATGTCCTTCTTGGATTGAAGAATGTTTATTACTTTATATATATTTTATCTACTGTAAATCAGTTTTTACTTTCAAGAACTTTATTTTCATGTAATTATGCAAGACAGTGTGCTCACAAAAAAATTGATTCTTGCGTATAACAGTATTCCTTAGGATTATATAGAGCAATATTATAAAAAACCACAATATATGAAAATTTTGTCTTGCTTATCAAGAGCCAATGCCTATCTCACAAAAATTAGGTTTGGAGATAGTCCAAAAAGGAGTGCAACTTTTTGTGTGCAATAGACATACAGTTTTTTCTATGGGTGGACCTGTAGCTCTCTGGTCATCCATCCCAATTTTTTTAGACCAGCAAGCTACAGATCTGCAGCTAGAATTGACATAGAAAATAATATTTAAAAAGCTATATGCTTAATAATTGTTATATTTTTTTGTTGAACTTGAAGTATCCTGATGAGTTAACCAACATAGAGTATTGTCCAGACTTTGCAGTGAGAGGGTGTCACTATGATGTTAAAAAGGTAAGGCAAAGATTTCTAAATATTGGTATGACTGCGAGGGCTATAGAACTCTAATAATGGTGAGAAAAATCAATTAATAACCCAATTTTTGAAATTTCATTATGAGTAAGTTATGAAAAATCACTTTTATCATTATGTGGTATCATTGGTATAGCATTGGGGTGCATCTTTGAACAGGATAAATTCGTAAAGTTGCATTGTCTCTTTGATGGACGACTAACATTTCACTTGTTCATTTACTTTTGGAAAATTGCATGCCAATAATGTATTCAAATTTTACTTTTGCTTTTAGGTGTAATATATGATAAGATTTAATAAATTTTAACATTCACTGCAAATTGTTGATTCCATTGTTCTTTTGATTTACTTATATCTAAGGCCCGCTCACTGGATAACAACATTAAACTCTCTTTCTTGCATAGAAACAAATTGACTCTGTTCTGGTTTACTTTACTTTCAGGGCTTGTTGCTGAAACTGGATTCCTTCCACAACATACAGTTAGGAACTGTATACAGGTAATACTAGTACCAGTAGAAACTGTATACAGGTAATTCTTGTACCAGTAGGAACTGTATAAAGGTAATTCTTGTACCAGTAGAAACTGTATACAGGTAATTCTTGTACCAGTAGAAACTGTATACAGGTACATGTAATTCTTGTACCAGTAGAAACTGTATACAGGTAATTCTTGTACCAGTAGAAACTGTATACAGGTAATACTTGTACCAGTAGAAACTATACAGGTAATTCTTGTACCAGTAGAAACTATACAGGTAATTCTTGTACCAGTAGAAACTGTATACAGGTAATTCTTGTACCAGTAGAAACTGTATACAGGTAATTCTTGTACCAGTAGAAACTGTATACAGGTAATTCTTGTACCAGTAGAAACTGTATACAGGTAATACTTGTACCAGTAGAAACTATACAGGTAATTCTTGTACCAGTAGAAACTGTATACAGGTAATACTTGTACCAGTAGGAACTGTATACAGGTAATACTTGTACTGGTATATGCATTGAATTTTGAAAGTGTGCATGTTTTATGGAAAATAGTTCTTATACATGTATATACGAGATCTCCCATCCTTTGTCATTACATTGTCATGACTCATCTTGTTAGAGTTGTGTCTCCTTTCTATTGTAGAGGTACTAAAGGACTCAGTGACGAGGCGGTGAAAACTTTGTATGGAGGGATACATGTCTCACTGGAGGATATGAATACGTTTTATGGAACAGTTAAGTTATCTCAACCACAAAGACCCTATTGAACTTGAATTAACCACTTACAAACTGTATAATATATGACTTAGTTTAGAGGAAAATATGAACCAATAATGAACATTTATTGAATTTAGGAGTTTACCAGTATTTTAAGTACCGGTATTATTTGCATAAATTGTATTTTGACATTCTTATTTTTGTTTTCAGGGACCAATGTACCAGCTGGTTGACCTATTTGCACCTCCAGAAATGACACTTTTATGCAATATTACAGATGTAAGTTTCAGGAATTTAAAAAAAAGAAATGTGAAAAATTAAAAGGTTTTTCTTCAATCATTTATACAGAATTGTTGCATTGTGATGAACTCATAAGTCAGTCTCTGTCGATTCACTTTGTATAAAATAGAAAATGTATTTTGAAAAAAAAAATCTCAAGCACATTTTTAAAATATTATGAATGCAAGAGTATAATTTATTGTTACATAATTTCCTAGGACTGTAATGAATATTCATTAGTGCCATGCAGGGCTCGACATTAACACTTGTCCAGTACCAGTGAAAAGAAAATACAGACAAGTGAATATTGCTGGGCACTTGTCGGGTTGGACAAGAGCATTTTAATGTAAAGGAGTCTATACAAAATAAAAAGAACGACTGTTGAAAGCTAATCGGTAGTTTCAAGACGGAAGCTGTACATAAAATCCAGACTTCGATCCCGATTTGTATCTCTATATCAATATTGAGTTCATATTTGATCAGGATCGAAGTTCACTAATTGCAAACTACTGAAACCAAAGTCATGGAAGATAGGAACCAAAGTGTGGATTCTGTCTGATGTCGACAGGGTCACTTGTGGACATTTATGTTATTGTCAGGACAGAAAGCCTAAATTAAATTTCGTTTCGTAAATGTGTTTGTTGTACATGTATTTATCAATAACATTACGAATCAATTAAGCACATGTCATGTGTAATGGACTTTATTTTAATTTTCAAATGGAAACTATTAGATCTTTATTGAAAATTTTTCGGACAAGTGAATTAAGTTGAAGATCGGACAAGTAAATGTCTTGGACAAGTAGGAAAAAAAGTTAATGTCGAGCCCTGCCATGTTAAATTTAAAGAAATCTGACTTTCTCTCTCATAGGAATTCTTCATCCACAGGATATTACAGAGAATTGAACCATAATTCCAGAATTAATTTCTTCTTTCATTATTTATAGTTTTTCATGGAGAATGGTATACCATATGATCCAGAGTATGTGTTCCATGACGTCAGGGTAGGTAAATGCATTAACAACTTTGAATTTTAATGAGAGCAGGTTAAAGACATCATTTATTAATGATACATTTATGTGAAAGTTTACCACATTGAAGGTCAGTCCACTTGTCAGTATTCCATCTGCAAGTATTAAACTTTGCTTAAGTTTGGTCTTTGAAAGTCATAAAAAGTCAAAACAGAAAATGCTATGCAAGTATCTGTATACATTGTATGTACAGTTCCTGTGTAATTTAACATTTCACAATTAAGTCATAGTATTGAATTTCTGTGATGTTCTGTGAAAAATGGAAGTTTTTCTTTTCAAAAGTAGTTCTCATTAATTTCTACATGGTTTATTTAAACAATAAAATGCTTTCTTTGTTTGTTATTACTGGAATTAATGGAAGCAGCTGTTGCAGAAAAAATACATAACTTGTGTAAGTGGGTTAATTACCATTATGTTAATTTTTTCTGCAATAGCTGCGACCGTTAATTCCAGTAATAACAAACAAAGAAAGACATTTTATTGTTTATATTTATATCTGTTTAAATACTCATTGAAAGTAGGATTAAAAAGATTAATTATTTTATTAATGATGCGAATGTCTTTAAACGTTTCATTGATGGAACAGCCACTGATTAAGAAATCTGTACAGGCGACATGCCTAATGAAGTTCATGCAGTGATTAACGCAATGGGTATTCTTAAGAAATAAAGGAGAAAATATACAGTGGATGTAAATATTCTAAGCTAAAATGAAATAAAATGGTGTTTGCTACATGTATGAACTGTAATAGACATTTGATTTTTAATTTGTAAATTTTCAGTCAGCTGTCCAAGGTGTTCACAATTCTGGTCAACTTCATAGTCAGATTATGGCTGATCTGGGTAAGATCTTGTCTGTTTTATCAATTCACAGCAAAACATGGTAAAAGCAAACATGCCTAATGTAGAATACTGTTATAGAAAAGTCCTTAGGACCTGTAAATTTATATTGCTATATCTGTATTTAATTATATTTGTACAGGTGTATTAGAATATATAAAGTGAATTCTAGGTACATGTGTATAGATTTTTTTCCTTCAAGTAGGACTATCAATTTTTTATTTTGGAACTCAGGAAGTATTAAATGTAAACTTTAATTAGCATGAAGTTTTAAAGTTTTCGTATTGAAGTTTAAATGTAGTTTTGTTTTTAAAAAGTTTAATCAATATTTTAAGGATGAGATCTTTAAAGTTCATAATAAAATATGTAAATTTCATATTTTTTATCCTCTGTGGGTAGGTTGTGGGGGTTGAATATTGCATGCGACATTACAGGCTTTTCTTCCATACATAATACATGTATATTACTACAAACAAGTTTGCTATATGCAGAAATTTGCTGCATACAAATATTTAATATGTATATAATATTTGAAGATTCTGGAGGATTGCTATATGCAGAAATTTGCTGCATACAAATATTTAATATGTATATAATATTTGAAGATTCTGGAGGATTCGAAAAAAAAAGACATATATCTCTATCAATTTGCTATATCAGCATCCATACAAAGCAAGTTTTAATTAGCTTTGATGTTCAGTCAAGGGCATCCTGGAAACAAGTTATTTTTAAAATAATTTGTTTATAAGTTATTGAATGTCATTATTTTGGGTTATCTTTCCCTTATTATGCTTATTCCAGTTATTGATACTTTAGTATTCATTATTGTAAACCTACTGGTAACTGAAAAACTTTATCCATGCTGCACTTGGAATATTAAAGTAGATGGAAAAGGTTCAAGACAGTAAAAGTGATTTATCTTTAAGATTTAATGTTGAAATTCCCAAATAATAACTTATTTCAGTTATTTCAACCTTAACCTCCCTCACTTTAGCACTTTTGCACAAAAATTTACAGTTTCTTACAAAAAAATGTAAGACACAGAAATTGTACAGTAATATCCAAGGATTTTAGGAAAATTAGTCTCACTTTTGGAGGAATTTGTGTAATTGACCTCTGAAATGTTCATGAAATGGAATTATTTTTTCCTTAAAAATATCATGATATTTTGATAAATATCATTCTATCTGCTCAGGAGATATGAAGTATGTTGAGTCTATTAAGAGAAGTACATATATTTACAACTCTCTTTAATAGCCTTACACCATCTTAAATCAACAGCAAACTCAAAATATTGATGTTTTTTGGCAAAATTGTTAGGCATTCTATATTTTTAGCATTAACTCAAATGAGTTATTTCTTTGTTTCGTAATAAATAAGTGAAGTAACCTAAAAAAGTTATTTTGAAAAATAACTTGATTCCATCATGCCCTGACTGATGTTTAAAAAGTTTTTTTTCCTGGCATTCACTTCGAGTATTTTGTTATTGAACACAGGAAACTTCTTTTTATGAGAGAAACATAACACTGTATTTTATCTTGTGTGGGTTGTCATTTGTCAAAAAGTACCAATCGCGATGGTATTTCATGTTGCAAGAAATTTTAATTTTTTATAAGCATTTAATTGTTTTTAATAGTTATAATGATAGCTTTCACGATGGGTTTTATTTTGCAGGAAAATGATGAATCGTGAACATGGTTAAATTAAAACCATCGTGATTATTTGCCATCTACAGTACATGTATCACATTCAATCTGGATTTTTTTCTTTTAGAGAGGTATTTAGACAAAGAAACGGGCATTAACCTTTTACTTGAAACTCTGGTTGATAAGGGGAAAAAACTTTTCCTGATCACCAACAGTGGGTTCCCTTTTGTGTAAGTTTGAAATATTTGAAATTGAATTATTACATGTTAAAATATCTCCTCAATTTTCTTTAAAAATACATATATGCCACTTAATTTATCCTTGAAATTGACCTAGTAAAATACTGTACGTATACATAAATTGGCATATTCAAAATTAAGCATAATCACTGTCAGAGTATGGATTTGTTGGCGTAATCATGAATCAGTGGTATACTTGTCCATGCCTATATTGTATATCTATAAATGATATCCTAGCGGTATTCATGAATAAGCACATCCTTTTCTACGCTAAAGCTGCTAAAGTATGAAGCCCGCTTTTTTAAGTACACATACAGTATCTCACAGTGTAACTTACATGTATCACAGTATAACTCTTGAAAATGATATTTTGAACTCTCCTTGGAACTTTCTTAGATCATGGAATAATAAGAATGAATTTCATTTATTTTGTTGCAGTGATGCTGGAATGAAATTCATGATGGGTGATAACTGGAGAGATTTGTTCGAAGTGATCATAACCAAAGCTAGAAAACCAAAATTTTTCAATGAAAGTAAAAGGTAGGCTTAAAACTTTGGTAAATATTGATTTAATGTACTTATGAAGGTAACAAGTTTGTTGAAGTTCTGACAAAACACCATCCTTAAGAACTTCTAAATATAGATTTGAGAAATGGTGATAAGAATCTAGACATTTCAGGATTTCTTTTTTCCTTTCAGACCTTTCAGAATTTATGACCCAGATACCCACAATGAGTCCTATGACAGAGTTTCAAAGTTGAGCAAAGGAAAAATCTACCAGCAGGTGAGAACGTGATACAAAATGTATTTTGTTTTTGGATAAGAGAAGAAATCATAGGTACATGTATAATTGTAATGGAAGAGGACAAAGTTATCAGAGTATTGTCTTTTGATTACATGTAGGTATAACAATGCATACGTTTATACACAGCCAATTGTGCCTAACGTTAATTTAACATGAAAGTACCATTAAACTAACATCAAACTAACATTATTTTAATATATGTTAATTTCTAACATTTTTTTCTGTAGATCACTTAACTTTTTGACAAGTTGGCGAGATAGTCATTGACTCCTGATTAGCTGACAAAATTGTAAATTGTGGTTATTGCTCTATGTAACCTTAAGGAATACTAATTAAGCGAGAATAAAAATTTCGCAAGCACACTGTCTCAAGTAATTACGCGAAAATAAGGAGGCAAAATGTGATTTGTAACATTAGTGCACAATTGGCTGTGTTTGTACGTCAGAAGTTAGGCGATTCTATTGAAATTGGCATACCGTAAGGCAAAAAAAAATGTAATTTCTAAGTCTATGTCTACATTCTTAAGGGTGCCTCATTACCCTTTTATTGCTAAATCAATAAAATAAAAACACCAAAACACCCCCCTCATCATTTTTTGAGGTTTTGTACAATGTAAAAAGCTGCCTCATCATGTTTTGGGGGCAATAAAAAGTAAAAAAAAAATGCCTCCCTCCCTCATCATATTTCTTGAAAAAAGGCCCGAGAACCAAGGAATTAATTTTGCATGGCCTAAATCTGGAAATTTTTACGTCAATTTTATTTTGCGAATTCGGGTCAAAATGCTGTTGATTAATTTTTACGTTTCAAAACTTTGCGAATGACCATTGCTTTGTTTACAGTTTCTTACTGGTGATTTATTTTTAAGAAAAATATTTTTGCGAATGCAATGAACTAGCAAATTTGTAAAAATTTATCTACAGCAAAAATTTCCAGATTTACGGTATTTGCTTGTTGAAAATCAGTTGTTATTTTTTAAGGGAAATTATTACATGCTCCAGAGTATGACAGGATGGTATGGATTCAATGTTTTATATTTTGGGGATCATGTCTACAGTGATTTGGCCGTAAGTTATCTTGATATTGGTGTGTTGCATTTCCTTTATCTATAGTGAAATGTATGTATAATTAAAACACTGAAATTTTAGAAGTCAATTTTTTTTTTAAATCACTTTTTTTTTTTAAGGATCCTTCACTGAAGCATGGTTGGAGAACAGGAGCCATTATTCCAGAATTAGAGGTATAGAGAGATGTACATGTAAATACAGGTCTATATGGTGCAAATTTATGTATATAAAGTATTGTTACTACTATTTTTTGTAAAAAGAACATTATATAGAAAACTTTTGACACCATTTGTACAATTATAAGTATTATTTTCTTTTCAGGCTGAGATAATAAAGTCCAATAATCTAGAATACCAACTAGCTGTTAAATGGTTGTGTACTTTACAAGATTTGATTGAAAGTGCTCAGGTAAAAATAAAAGAAAAAAAATCCAAATTTGTCTTTTACAAAAACATATATGTTATCTATTTTATTGTAAATATCAGATTCAGGGAATAAAGTCTAAATGTTATTTACTTTCTTTACAGATGGATAAAACACAAGATACTAGTCAGATCAGACAATGTTGGTTAGATGAAAGAAAGAACATCAGGTAATTTGTCTTCAGTATTTAAAATATCTAGTATGAGCATTAAAGTTTATTATTGTTAATTTATAAGTATTGTAGACCAAAGAAAAATAAAATGACTGTGTTCTTCAAACAATCAATGCTTGAAAAATATAGCAAGCAAATTCAAAGGATTGTGGCCCCATGCTTTCAGTGTCTTTTTAGTTGTTGGGGATGCATTTACGTGTTTGTGTGTCATGCCTTGTGTGTCCATCATACAAAAAAGATATAATTTATTGAATAAATAAAAGCCATGTCTCTTCTGAAGCAAACATATTATGGCCTTTGCCTTTATTTACTTTTGAAAGGTATCCTTTTTCATGCAAAATTAATTCAAATGTTGCTATTTATATTTCAGGAATTATACCAAGTCTCTGTTTAATGCTCAGTTTGGAAGCATATTCAGGACCTATCACAATCCCACCTACTTCTCTCGGAGGCTGGCTCGCTTTGCTGATCTATACATGTCCAATGTGGTCAATCTTCTACATTATCCTATAGACCATACTTTCTATCCTCGACGCATGGAGCTTCCACATGAACCTCATGTTGTACCTAGAGAAATCAAGGGAGAGAAGCAGTGTTAACAACAGTGAGGTTAGGTACCAATTGAAAGTATGGAGTTAAAAGGTGTGTACTAGCACTCAGTGCTAAGAGATATTACAAAACCTATAGTCTAATAACAACTTTGAGCATACATGTTAACCTATTGTGATGAAAAAGAGGGAGATTCAGACCTCAAAAGCGGTAGCATTGCGCGCGTGTTGTTTAACGCTTGGATTATCGATATCTTTCATGTAATATACATGTATATTATAAGCCTTAAATGAAATCAGGTACCTACACTAATTAATCTTAAATATCAACAGCAAAGAAGAAGACAGAAACACCTTAAGTTTGACATAAATTGTACAAATTCAAATATTTTTCATGCTCATCATTTTGCTTGGATTGGCTGCTTTACTTAGCCTTTTGAAGAGTGATCTTTGCTGAAATAGCCTAGAAGCCATAATTCTGAATGTTCATTCAGTTTTTAAACAAAACAAATGATGGCATGGTTTAATCTAGATCTAAAACAAGTTCGTATCTTTCGTTATATAAATCAGATTTCCCGCGTTTATCGAAAACGAAAGTAGAGATGTGCCACATGGCTTGGTCAATCGAGTGATTTCTATTGACTTTATTGATAAAGTTGTGAGCTTCTGTGCTTTTAAAGACAATGTCAAATGTTTTCATCTAATTCTTAAAAGCTGTATCTCCTTTTTCATGGCAGGGATGTTGATTAATTTATCGTAACCAATGTAATCACTGGTAGGCTTATGTTGTTGTCGTTGTCAAACCCGTGCTTGAAATCTATGTACAAAAAAAGCGTTTGTATGATTCCGTGTCAAATCACGCGATATCTAGCGAGATTTTATGAGAGTGGCTTCAAAAATGGATACCCAAGCGAACCAAAAATACTTTAGACGCAGCTTTTGTAGAAAAGCGGTAGATTTCTGAATTAAATCGGTAGGCGGGAGATGGAGTGAAAAAGCGGTAGACTCCCGCCTAAATTGGGAGAGTTAACATGTATGCTTTGAGTGAAAGTGTCAGAGTGACAATGAGTTTCATTTTCTGCTGAGATTTTGAAGACAGTGGGGTAACATGAAAAAGTGTGATTTTTTTTTAAATTTATAATTAATTTTGAGCATAGGGTAAAATTCAACAAAGGTAAATACTGGTAAAAAGAAATGATATTAAGTTATTTTGTGTTCTTTTAGATGTAATACCATATTAAGCAGAATTTTTAGAGAGGATTTAATTTTGGCATTTTTAGCGAGAGTGCTGAGATTGCTTAAATTTAATATAGCTAAAAATTAATTACTTTTTTTTTTGTAAAAGCTTCTTTAGTGAACGTTTTAAAATCGCTAAAATTGCATCCGGCTAAAATTAAAATACCAATTTTTAAGGACAAATCGCTAAATTTGTGTCTGGCTAAAATTTCCACTTATATGGTATTATTTTATTGAGATTGGTATTAGCTTAATATAAATAAAAACAGGTATAATGAATATTTGATGACTAAAATCTGTAAATTTTTTCAAGAAATTTCAGTATCATATTTCCATATAGGGCATTAGGCTTCATGTAATGATCTTAAGATTATAAAAAGTTGAATGAAAGAAATCTTTGCAGTTGTTAGCTATGAGATAAATTGTTCCATTTTATCTTTGCAAGCATAATAGAGAATGTACCAGTGTATGTAGGTGATAGATATTTTGAGTGAGTAGGAAATTTATTGTTGTCAGAGTTTTAGCTAGAGCAAATGATAATAAAGCTATGTGTGATAATAAAATTATTGTTTCATAGTAGTAGTTTACTTTCAGTATTAATATTTATGATATATTTTATTTTTATGGTGTCTTATTCTTGTTTTAGAGACAGTAAAACTTTGTGATATGATATTGCAGTGTTTACTTAATTGTTGTCAAATGTTGTGTAAATGTATTGAATACTTTATTGATGTGTTCAAAGTCATATATTGATTATTTTTGATAAACTCTGTAGAATGAATAATGATGTTAACAATTTCAGTGTGCTTGTGGACCAGGCTTGGCCCTTTTAATGAACTAAAGCATATTTGTGATTCTTAACTTATAAGTACACTGTATTTTATATAAAACTAAACTGACACTTCTGTAATTGTCTCATTTATTTTTAAGAATTTGAGTTTTTTTTCTGTTTGTCAGTTTTTCTTGAACACATATTAAAGTATGATTTTATCACTATCAGCACTTTGTTTTGTGGATTTCAGTAACAGTACAGTAAAACTAGGTTAAAGCGAAGTCCTGGGGACCTGTGAATTTTATTTGCATTATCCTTAATGAATTATTCATTATATTCATATAATGAATTTCTATAACTATACTGGGGAATTCACAATATGCACCTTTTCCTTCAAGAATTAAAATTGTGAAATAAAATTGTTAATCTAGATTTTAAAAATTTAAATTATATGAGGCCTCCTAGGTTAATTTCAATAGTCTCTGCCAACTGAGGTCAAATGCAAAAACAGCCTCAAGAGATTTACATGCATATTAGGCCTTCTTAGCATTAGACACAAAGACTGATGCACAAGATTTACATGCATTTTAGGCCTAGCTCCTTAGCTCTGAACCTGTGGCTTAGCGAAATTCAAAAGCAAAAATCATTAGATCAACTCAACTAACTTTTAAAGAGTTATCACAGAGAAAACAAATACATATGTAGAAATGGAAATATATACATGTACTAATACTTTTGGAAAATAAAATCAGTTCAATTTATCACATTGTGAGATCTTTGAAAATTCATTATACAAGATGAAAATTTCATTTTATTTAACCTGTACAGGGACTCAGAAATCAATTCGCTTTATCTGTAAATTCGTTATATCATAGTTAGTTCATTATATAAACCGTAAAATTTTAAGAAGGAATTTTAAGAATTTTGCCAGGGACTCTGAAAAACTTCGCTTTATCAATTCACATTATGTGTTCGTTCTTGTACTAAATAGGAAGCCATCAATAAAACTTTAAGATACTGGTACATGTATGAAGACTTTTATCCATTTTGAATTTTGTTTTTAAATTTCATTGATATTTTTGTAGTATTTTTAAGATAAACCCAAAGTTAGAAAACAGTTACATGTTACAAAATGTGTTTGTGAAATATTGATGACCCCGTATGGCAGTTTATGATGATTGTTAAAGTTTCTCAAATGTAACTCGAGCTCCACAGGTCAAGGATAAGATAAAAAAAAATGTTGATACCTAAAGAAAGTTTTCAAGAATTATACATACAAGATATGAAAACATGGTGAAGGTTAAAGTATTAAAAGCAAGACAAACATGAAGGTCAAATAAATAGTGCTCATAGTAAGTTTTTTCCTCAAGAAGTACACATGTGAAGCATCAAAGCTCTAGCACTAACCACTCAAAAGTTTAGGACAAGGATAAAGTTATTCAAAAAAGGTCTAATTCTAAGGCCAAGGATAAAAGATAAAAACTGTACCCAAAAGAAGGTCTTGTTAAAAAAAAAACACGAAACATATGATGGCCCTGGCACTCAACTTTCAAAATTTATTACCAAGATTTTTTTTTTTGAAAGAAGATAGGTCAAACTCCAACATTAAAGAGTTCAAACTGTTGGTTATTAGGTGAAGGTCTTTCACAAGGAATGCAAATCTGAAAGATGAAAGCATAAGAACCAACTGATCAAAAGTTGTAGCCAAGGTTAAAGTTTTCAAAGAAAGGTCTTGTCACACAAGCTCCTTCCAATGAAACATTATAAGAAAGGTCAAAGTTTTTTAAGGAATATACAGTGGAAAACTTGAAGGAAATTTTCTCAAGTCAAGAACATCAAAGGCATGATAAGTCATATTGATGTGGAAGCATGTACATATGGCAATGGATTCAAGTTTGTTCAATCAATTACGACCCCAGGGGATAGGTTTGGGAACACAATAGGTAATCAAACTTATATAAGGGAAGGTACAGAAAACACTTTTTTACAAGAACAGCAAAGGAATCATTAGACGTAAAAACACAGATTTATATGGATATGTGATATTGATAAGCATCTAAACTTTAGAAGCTAGTTTCTTTTAAGATTCAAATTTGTTCAAATAACAGCCCTCGGGAACACATCATGTGGCCATATTAGGTGATCAAAGCAACTGAATACCGTATAGCTGGTTATTTTAGCGGGGGTGCTAATTTTGGCGTTTTGAATGTAGTCCGCTAAATTTGTAAACGCTAAAATTAGTATTAGTATATGCAAAGAGCTGAAACCGTGTGTCACCTAAAATCAATTACGCCAAAAGTTTTGGCATAACTTTGGGCAGGTAAAACGCGAGCTGCAGAACTGTAGCTCTCCGAAAAAAATATATTAACAGACCGGAGAGCTACCGTGCCACCCACTGAAAAAACTGTATATTTATTGCGCACAAAAAGTGCGCTGTTTTTCGATTTATTGTTCCATGTTTTAAAACTGTCACCTAAAAATATTGGTAAGCGTATGTTCCTAACATATTCTAGCTTTAACTGTTTCCACAACAAAACATTCCTTAATTGTTATTTATAGCCCTCCTGGCCCTGAAATTGAGATCACCGAAATTTTCGTCTATTTATACTGCCATTTCTGTTTGCAAGATAATTCGATCCAACACACTTCGTGCAGATCTGTGTCAATCACGAGAGTACTTGATAGAGAAGTAAGGAATTTTTTTAAAAAAAATCAATCTTTATTGGAGAAAATTGGTAAATTAATCCAGAATTAGGCGCAACTTTTTGTTCGCAATAAATAAATTATACAGTTTTTACAATGGGTGGCACTGTAGCTCTCCGGTCTGTCACTATATTTTTTTGAGGAGAGCTACTGTAACGGTTCTGCAGCAATCGCAACTTCTCGGGCCTTTCCGACTAGCGGAAAAACGAACGACCTCTTCGAATTTTCCGACCTCGACAGGAAAACCCGTTATATGGGTAGGTAAAACGAAAACAAGAAAAAATAGAAAACATGTGCTTGTGAAATATTGATGCCATCATTCCCCCGTATGACAAGTTGACAACCTATTGCAAAAGTTAATTTTCTCATATGTGAAGTTCGAAAACCCTAACTCCAATTGTTCAAAAGTTATGGTCAAGGTTTAGTCAAAATCAAAACTGTTAAAATACAACGAAAGGTCTTGTCACAAGGATTAAACACATGGAATATGAAAGCCATAACTCTTACAAATCATAAATACATGTATAATTTATTGGCAAGGTTAATGTTTTTTGTGGACAGACAGCTAAATAGACTGACGGAAAGAATAAAAACTACATGTATATATATCCCAGAATCTTTGATTAAGGGTTGGGGGCATAAAAATCATATAACACATATGCATTTAATTATGCATAGCATTGCGATTCTTTACAAATATGCATTTCAACGAATTATGTGTTTGAATGACACTGATATACGTTACAATGACATCTTACGTAATATTTACAGATGCACCTCATACAAAGTAATGTACATTTCATTCAAACGCATTCTCTCTCCACTTTCTGCCTGCAGATAGACCATGGGAACTGTGATTTTCGGATCGGGTATTGTGATCGCTTTTTGCCTGGTGGGAGCAGGGTATACTGTTATAGGAGTTCTGACCATTGTGGCCGTGACACTGGCTGGTGTTATAGATTACTTGTATGTCCCCATGCCTGCTACTGCCGAATAAAAGTTTCAAAGACAGAAATTAATGGCAGGATTACGACTCCGAAATGCCTTGGTATGTGAAATTACAATGTATCTTTGTTTTCATAATTATTAAAGCATAAAACTACTGTGTGCATATGAAGCATGTTGTATTTTTCATGTTATTAAATTTCAAAATGTTACTCCAAAATTTTCACTAAATGCAGTGATGCATAAAATCAACTCATGAAATATGAAGAAACGAACAGTAACTAAGCTCAAATGTCCGTTAAAACAATACAAAGCGGGAGCCGAGCAGACACGGACCTCGGAAAACATCGGAGAGGGATCAGGTGCCATGGAGGAAAAGAGTCATCTTCTTTCGACTGGATACACTCGCCGTGCGCTATACTTGGCATGATAAGGCAAACGACAAGAGGCCCATGGGCCACATCGCTCACCTGAGAAGCTTTTACCATGCTGTTCTTTACCAGATTTCCGCCTTGTAAAACATATTGTGACCCCACCCTACCCCACTGATCATAATTTGGACAATTTGAAATCTACACTATCCCAGGAAGCTTTCACATAAGTTTCAGCTTTTCCAGTCCAGTGGTTCTTGAGAAGAAGAGTTTTCCTTTATATTTCTATGAAAAACCTTGAATCCCTATTGTACCCCCTACCCCCGGGGTCATGATATGAATGATTTAAAACCTACACTACCCCAGGATGCTTCTCCATAAGTTTCAGCTTTTCTAGCCCAGTGGTTCTTCAGAAGAAGATTTTCAAATATTTTTCCTATATATTTCTATGTTAAACTTTTATTCCCCATTGTGGTCCTGCCCTACCCCTGGGGGTCATGATTTGAACAATTTAGAATTTACACTATCCCAGGATGCTTCCACATAAGTTTCAGCTTTTCTGGCCCAAAGGTTCTTGAGAGGAAAATTTTCAAAGATTTTTCCTATATATTTCTATGTAAAACTTTGATTCCCCATTGTGGCCCCGCCCTACCCCTGGGGGTCATGATTTGAACAATTTAGAATCTACATTACCCCAGGATGCTTCCACATAAGTTTCAGCTTTTCTGGCCCAGTGGTTCTTGAGAAGAAGATTTTTTACTGACCCCACCCTATTTTTGTCTTTTCTTGATTATCTCCCCTTGTGAGGGAATTTGCCCTTCATTTTAAAAATTTAAATTCCCCTTCACTTAAGGATGCTTTGTACCAAGTTGGTCAAAATTGGCCCAGTGGTTCTTGAGAAGAAGTCGAAAATGTGAAAAGTTTACAGACGGACGGAGGGACAGCTAGACGGACGGACGACGGACAAAATGCGATCAGAAAAGCTCACTTGAGCCTTCGGCTCAGGTGAGCTAAAAAATTGACAATTTATTGTATAAATAATGGCCTAACAATTTGTATGAAAAACGTCAGTCAACATATGAATTAAAGATAGATTGTATTTGTCGACCAGATCATTGTATCGATCAACCACAGGATTTGCAAAATATTGATTGTACACGAGACTGTTGGTATCCTTGTGACTTCAACTTCTTAATCAATAGCTTTTCTCGTTTTAGAAATTGTTCGTACACGTGTAGAACATACTCGCGAGTAAATCATAGACCTCAATCACAGGCATTTTGATCGCTTAAAAAAATTGTGTGTGTAAAAAAAGATACTTTTTTAAACTTCAATTTTTTTTCTAAGCGATTTAAAGGCCTGTGGCCTCAATATTCAGGTTTAAACAAATGACAGCTGTAAACTCCACACACAGGTGAAAATGATATGTTTCTACATGAATAAGACATGCTTGTGATCAAAAATTTATCATTAAGTTATATTATACTTTCATGTAAATTAGTAGAATCCGATTGGTCGAGAAACATTTGTTAAAAAACACTATTACCCGCTGAATAATGAAGCCACGCCCTCCAGCGTAGCAACAGTCAACATTGCTTGACGACGGGTGATATTCCAAAAAATAGCGACTGCGCAGAATTTATGCGCGCACGGTTCACTGTTATATGTATTTGTATAAAACATTCAGTATAATATAATAATTATTGCATGTAGTTCAGAGTAACATTGAAAATTTTCACCCCTCGAAAACCATTGTCAACCGAGGCGCATGTTACACTCAACTACATGCAATATTTATATATTGTTGTTTAAAGCTGAACACTTCTCATAAATAGGCACTGTCAGACGGGTATATAAACCGCTCGCTTTCGTTACACCCGATTGCACACTTGAAACGTAGTACTCCTATCGTGGTCTTAGATTTTTTACGTTTATTTCTTGTTTTTCTGTGCATTTTCTGTTTGTAAATAATGTATTGACCTGTATTTTCCATGATACTTTTGTCCTGTTTTGGAAAAAATACGTAAAATTTGATAATTTCATCGATATTGAGTAGCACGCTTTGTAAGATATACGTCTTCACTCATCGGATCTCTGTAGTAAAATACAGTGGACCCTCATTTATCCGGACGCCTTGGTTCCCAGTCAATTTGTCCGGATATGTGAAGCGTCCGGATATCTGAATTACCAGTTAAACAAGACAAAATAGCGTTTAAAAATTCCGTTCCGATGAAAAGTCGTGCGGATACTGAAGCATCCGGATATCTGGCGTCCGGATATCTGAAGGTCCACTGTACATTGAACTGACTAGCGATCTGCTCCTTATATACGAGTTGTAGGGAGAGCGTTGAAGAACGAGAAATATGGCGGACTATGCCTATTTACGAGTAGTGTTCAGCTTTAAGGTCACCATAATAGTCTTCTTCTATCCAATATGAATCAGATGTGTCAGACTTTGGTATCGTTTGAGAAATCATCAATTGATTTAATTAAGTTTTATTCATATATTTTTTGTTACACAGAAAAACTCAAAGTTTTGGCGAGGGAAAGAACACGAAATGCAGATTGCTCGTGGGAATATCTACCCAGAAACCACAAGCAATTCAAAGGATCCAATAATTTCAGTACGTTATTATAATGTTTTACGTAGTATTTTCTTTAAGTTGTGAAGTTAATTAAGGAAAAGTAGAAAATAACTATAAACAAAACTATGATTGAAAAAGAATTTTCTAAATCTATTTTTATATATTCAGACGGAGGACACATCGATAGAAAGGGTACCTGTTCGTATCTATCGCCCGGCCGATATGAGAGAAGTGGAGAGACTTCCAGGGGTTGTGTATCTTCATGGAGGGGGGTTCTGTATGGATGAATTTGGTAAAAGACTTCTTAAAAATTGTGGTTGGTTACATTATAGTCTTAATTTTTTATATAGGTTATCAATAGGCATGTTTTTTTAATATTCATTTACTAATAGAAAACACCATTGAAAGTTTTTGCAAAATGCGAGTTTTGTAAAACACTTCTGTTAGACTTGTAATGTATTTCATTGGGATAAACTCTCCATTCTTTTTTTTAAATATATTGTGTTCTATGGGAACATATTGATAGCATTACCAAAAGTTTTTAAAAATGCAATAAATATATAGATAAATTATAAGGAGTTTAGCAAATAATCAGTTTTTTATTGCAAATAAAATAGAAAAAATATGTACAATAATAGATAAATAAATAAATAATCGAGTGTCTGTTAGAACGAAATCATTAAATACTTATTCTAACACAATATACACTAAACTAGCTAAAATAATTATACACAAAAACTTTCCTTTCATTTTGAAAACAGTGAACTACGATCTTATGATCTGTCGGATGCTGAAACTGAGGAGAATGGTACTCATATACGTCAGGTAGGTTAATATACTATTGACTAAAAAGGTTTGATATACTACTATTTTATGGGAGGTCAGTTATATTACTTATTACTAATATATATAGATGAGAGTCAATCGTACTCCCTATGTGTACATAATGTACTTATTTTGTAATGTAGGGTATGTTGTTCACTATGTCAAAAATTAAATTACATGAGGCATCCCATGTCAATTTCAATAGTCCTCGCCCCTGACGTTACATGCATATTTGGCCTCCTTAGCGTAAGACACAAAGACAGACGCACGAGATTTACATGCACATTATGTCTTCTTAGCTTCTGACGTATCGCTTGGCGACATTTACATTCCGTTAGAATGATCAAGAAATCAAATAAACTATATCAAAGAGTTATCACAGAGAAAACAAATAGAAATGGAATTATTTGTATATACATGTAGCTACAGTTACTACGTGTATGTGAGATTGAGTATGGAGCTCGCTATGATAATGAAAGGTAGTTATTTTAAAATGTTTATTACATTTTGGGGTTGGTTATGATACTCACTATTATGTTAACGCAAGAGTAAATAATTCATACCTCTTACTATGTTACGCAGCGTGTGCTACTCACTTTCTTTATGCAACGTAAGGAGTGCAACATGCCGGTACTATGCTTACGTAAGGTATTTATGCTTGTATGCTACTCACGGGCGTTAAATGTATATAAGGTAGCGTATGCAACATTCTACCCAAGTACTACATGTAGATAGTTTATAATGCGTTTATTATTTTTCAATGGAAAATATCGTCCACCCCCATTTTTCAAGAGCTGAAATTAGGGATAATAAACTATTTAGCGCTAGAATTGAAATAATTAATAAATTACCTTCTTTGTATTAAACAAAAAAATTATGACCAAACTGTCATTAATATTGAATGAAATGGGTGCAAAATGTAGGCGGTGTAACGTTGAATATTGACCCCAGTTGAAAATTGACCCGGGGTTCATTTCTCAACGTTGAATATTGAACCAGGGGTGTTTTTTCAACGTTGAAAATTGAGACCAAAAGTCGTTGAATTTATACCCGGGGTCATTTTTCAACAGCTTGAAATTTTTTTATCTTATCTCCGATGACTTCAACGAGTTGAAAATAGACCCTGTTGGATATTGACCCCACCTAAGAGTTTGAACATTTTTTGAACTTGGAAGTTGTTTTACGGGATTCATCAGTATCTCTATATTTATATTTCGGGTTCAATTTTTTTCCCTTTTCAAGAAAAATAGAAATAAACTTATCATCCCGTGTATATATGTACATTTTTATACACGATCTTCAAGCATGACAACTTTATTTTTGACAATATTTTCTAAATCCATATCCATAAATAACTACATGTACAAAACCATGAATAGGGCATAAAACAAAAATTCTGGAAATCTGATGACTAGAAAGTGAGCCGTATACATAAATATTAAGGTTTCGTCAAAGGTCAACATGTCTAAAAAAATATTTTTACAATAGATCCAAAAATATGTGTGTTATAAAGTCAAAACGTTTACAGTTTATAAATATATCAATGATTAATAGATAGAAAGTATCACTTGACAACAAATATTTAAAAAAAATATTTTTTAAGAAAAATTGTAGAAAATGTGCATATTTAAAGAAAAATGCATCTGCTTGATTTTTTTCTTCTTTTTTTGTGAAAACCATCATTGCAGAAATAATATAAAATTATGTTTATCATTGAAGGGCAAGTTGGACGTGAATGGTCTCTGAATGGCTGTTATTGAAAGCATGACATGTATAAAGACAAGACCCCTATAGAATCCACCATTTGCAATGTACTTTCACTTTTAAGTCTTAACATTTGGACAAAATAAACGGAAAACAACTTTCCAGAGGCTATCCAAGTCCAACTTGCCCTTCATTGATAAACATATTTTGTTTCTGCAATAATGGTTTTCACTAAGAGCGCGGAATCAATTAGGTGTATTCTTTGAAAATATATGCATTTTTAAGAAGAATTTTTCTCAATATTTTTTCCAAGTATGTTTTTTATCAAGTGATGCTTTCTATCTATTAATCAATAAAAAAAACTTTATAAACTGAAAAAGTTTTAACTTTATACCTCACATAGTTTTGGAGCTATTGTAAAAATAAATTTTTGGACATGTTGACCTTTGATGAAACCTTAAAGTGATCAGGTGGGCAGAACATCCCATCTAGTCAAATTCAGTATAAAAATTAACAAAATTAAAAGCCTAAAAAGTAGAATGAAACACATCGGTCAAAATGAATCCAATGATAGGTTATATTTGTGAAAAGATCAATATAGCGACCATACCATGTAAGTAATGCTGACTTTAAACAAGGTTGGTGAAATCCTTGTAACAAACTTATCTGTCAGTAGCCTGCCTCGGCCTAAAAATCGATCGTTTTCGGAGCATAACCTTGAGAATGAGAACTAGAGTAAGAATCTGGGATGGACTAGAAGCTGCACTTCCCACCATCTTTTTTATCAACATTTCAAAAAAGCTCTGTCTCTGCAACTTCTTTTGATCTAAACAACTAAAAAGCGCATTCCTCTTCAAAGAAACACACACACACACACACAGAGAGAGAGAGAGAGAGAGAGAGAGAGAGAGAGAGAGAGAGAGAGAGAGATCCTAAAGTTTTTCTCGGAGGCGGGGGTATGGTGTCAAAACCCTCTGAAATATTGTGACAAAAAAAAAACATAAACAAAATAAATAAACGAAACGCAATAAACATACAAGCAAACAAAAAAGGGAAAGGGAAAGGGAAACTAGCCAATGTTGAAAACCAAACTATGTCTCTAATTGGATGGAAGGGCCGCTTCAAAAATTCCTCACAAACTATTCTGTGTTTCCCCGATTCAGGGGGAGGGGGTCAATGTTTTATTTTGGCTACTTTATTAAAAATATTAAATAACGCTGAATGTTAGGGTTGTGTATCTAAGGCAAACATTTTTTGATTTAAAAAAAACTACAAAAATGAAGAGAACAGCCCAGTAACAAATACAAAAACAAAAAAAAAAAAGAAAAACCAAAAACAAAACCAAAAAAACAAAAAAACAAAACAAACACATTCTTCAAATATATATGGTACTAATCCCAAAAAGGGGAGATTACCCCCCCCCCCTTTTACATTCTCTACTTAACAAAATAAATATGTATTAATTTTGAGGTTCGTTCTTTAACTGTTTGATTAACTATGCGAAAAAGATCACTAAACCTTTTATTTTGAAAAAAATCCGTTTTTCAAGTTGGACATTATAAGTTATTAATGTTGCGCATAACTAAATAAGCACGTGCATCATGCGTTAAACTCTCACCATTTTCCAAATACTAATACCAGGGTATTAGGAATTTTAAAATTAAAATAAATGAAATGTTGTTAGCAAACAAAAAATTATAAATAAACAAATTTATGAACTAAATTGTATATTGTTTAACTATGTTTACTAATATTCAGGATTTTCATACTGTAAATCACACTTTATTCGCGAGAACTTTATTTTCGCGTAATTACGCGAGACAGTGTGCTCGCGAAAAATTAATTTTCGCGTATAATAGTATTCTTTAAGATTTTAAAGAGCAATAACCACAATTCGTGAAAATTTTGTCTCGCTAATCAAGAGTCAATGACTACCTCACGAAAATAAGGTGTCGCGAAACTTAAGGATGTACAACACAACTACCCCAAAAAATTCCTGTCGTTTAATTTTCGTTATTTTTGTATATTTAGTACATGACTATATCTACTGCATGTATGCATATTTTGGACAAAATCGTTCGAGTGGTTTTTGGACAGGAACTTCCGAAAGTTACCCCCCTTTAGTTGTTTACAAGGAGAGAAATTTTTTAATCAATGAACTACTTAAACCTTGATTTTCAAAAAAACCAGGTTAGATATAAATGTCAAATTTTATTGGCTTATTCTTTTAAACATTTAACACAAAAACATAGTCATCTTTTTGATATACATATCATCAAAACAATTTTTAAAGACCTTAAACTGATAAACTATGAATTTTCTAAGCCTTGAAAATTGCGTATTTTTCAAATTCAAAATTTTTTTGTGAAAAAACCTGTCGTTTAATTTTTGTAAAAAAAACTTTCTTAAGGTAGCTGGTAGTAAAAATAATCTTAATAATTTTTTGTATAATTTTTGTACGACCAGTTTTGATTTAATAGCGGAAAATTACCCCCTCCCCCTTTCTCAATAAAACACGTTCCCGCGCGTCTTTCGCGGGGGTCGATCACTTTGTTATATCAATCTACAAATACACATTTAAAAAATTAAATTGGAATATTGCTTTTGCTTCAAAAATATATTAACTTACAAATTTAAAAGTTCTCATATGTAAAGCGTATTTAAATGTAGATTTTTAGGTAATTTTTGAATACCCCTATCACCCCCACCCCTTCCTTTTTTGCGTCGCAGACCATTTAGCGTTTGACGAAACGTCGTTTACAGTGCAAATATACTGGTAAGGCAAGAATCCCGGAGGTATGCATTAGTTTTTAAATTCATGAATGCAGAATAAATATTGACTACTCTTTTTATATGTATCAGGAAAAAATTACTGAAAGATTTTAGTGTCTAGTCCATATACGTATGCGTTATGCATTCCTAGTATCTCATGAAACCTGGATACGAATTCAAGTTTTGTTGAACTTGAATATGTTGATTTTTAATTTTATTTCTTTAATTTTATTCATTAAAAAAATGGTGTATGTTCAACTCTCCTGTCCTGTGATATAAATGGAATAATTGTAGTTTCTTTCATGTCATCTTTTCAAACGAGACAGTATGTGGCCGTGGGGATACATCGACATTTGCATTAGATGTACATACACCCCTCATGATATTGTACGCATTTCTTTCAATGTCGTCGCTTCTAAAGTTAAAATGAAAATTCCGTATTCGTCCACATGAACATCAAAATATCAATAATTAAACTCTTCATCTATTTCAATTTATATCAAATCGCACATTGATATTTTCTAAAATCTTATAGGCTACGTTTTGTTTTGATTCGAGGAAATGCGAACCGACATTGTTGACAGAAAGTCAAAGTTATGATTTGCTGCAATAGGATATTCATGAATGCAGATAATTTCAGTAACAAGTAAACAATTCTTTTCAATTCTATACTTACATTGTGTATATGAGGTCTATAGTATTCAATTCTCGGATTTATCAGGTCTTTGGATTCTGTGGAAAACCGTGAATAAAGGGAGGAAAATAAACATCTCCTACATTTTCAGAGTTGTTCCTCTTTGATCAGTAAGAGTCTGAGAACAACATGATTTTACATTGTAACAAGTTTTTTGTTTATTTATTGTTGTTTTATTTAATTAAAGAAGAAAAACAATATTTATATCGTGTATGCACAAATTGTAATGAAGACCATTAATCGGAATGTTATATAGCCAATTGTAATAATGAGAATTTCGGCAAAATAAAATTTTAAGAATAAAAAAAAATGCTGCGCTTTGATCAAAAATACAATTTTTTGTATATGAAATGAAATGAAATAAACATTAAGGGATGGTATTTTAAGTCTTGCTTTTTACGGAGTTTAATCGGGTTAATTAAAAAAATACTAATTAATTGAGTATGGTACGCACAAACACAGCCAAGCCCCATATCCCAATTTTCTTTCATGATTGATATACATCGGGATCGTTTTACTCGTCGTTTTGACGCTTTATTTCTGACGTTAAATTTGACGTTACGTCAAACGTTCAATTGAAATCGCAAGAGTTATCTCCCCCAGTGTGTTGTACGTCTATAAGTGATCTACAGATGTACTTCTTTTTAAATAAATATTACACGAAATATTGCAATATTAAGCTACATGTTACTTTGAAAATTGTAAAAGAAAGAAAAATTCAAATCTGAAAAAAATTGACAAGAAAAAAAAATGACCATTGCCCAAACTAGTAGTCCAAACCCGAAAATCCTATTGGGGGTTGGATCCAATATATATATTTTTTTAACACTACCACTTACTCTTTTTTTACTACACTGTAACGTGCCTGTTATTTAAAATTAGGGAAACTAACCCAATTACAAATTGTTAATGCCTATATTATGTCTATCTTTGCAAAAAAGGTAAGCATCCCTAACTCCCCTTCCCTGTACCAACGCCTATGAATTTAATCACAGTTGTGAAAACAAAGTCATAAATGTGTTTTTATGCTGTTGAATTTTGAACCGGTTTCATGATCAAAATTCTACGACCCGGCTCGGTTTTCAACGGACTGTCATTAATACTTGAACGTTGAAAAATGACCCCCGGGTCAATTTTCAACCCGGGTCAAAATTCAACGTTACAGCGGCAATTGTATTTTTTTTTCATATGTTTCCGCGATGTAGGCTATGCTACTCACTTGTAATAAATATACGTAGTCTCCCTGTTCAAAATAAAATTTCATATTGCACAAACGATTTTGAACATGCCAAAACTAAAAAAAAAAAAAAAAAAAAATTGATATAACAAATTTCATGAGTGACATACCTTAACTGTCCGATACCGCTACATTATTTTTTCATGTATTTTTTCTAGATATCGTCTGGCACCGGAATTTCCATTTCCAGCTGCGGTGGACGATTGCTTTGCAGTAACACGATACATACAGAGAAATACAGAACAACTTAATATGGATTCTGAAAAACTTATCCTGATGGGTATAAACATTAATGCAAACTTTATATCAATTTATTTGACAACTCTCTCAAATAAATCATATTAATGATCATGATAAGTAATTTATATGGCAATTTTTTGTAAATCCCTGAAAATCGTAGTAAGTACAAGATTGCGAAAAATAGAATAACATAATGTTTACAAGAGGTATAAAACTATAAATATTAAACATTTTATATTAAAACATTTTGCAGGGGATGATGCAGGCGGAAATTTGACCATGAATATGTTAATAAGAATGATTTCGGAGGATGGACTAGACCTGCCAAAATTCAAAGTCCAGATAGTCTTGGTTCCATTTATTCAAGCATTAAATTTTATCACTCCCTCCTATCAAATTTGTGACAATATTAAAGCACCAACCTTTCCGAACGCTGAATTTATGTTAAAATCTTTGATCACCTATGCTCTTGGTTTTGCGACTCTGGACAACTCTGAAATACGGAAATTATTGGAAAATGCTCACTGGACGGACGAAATCAGAAAATCTCATTTTCCAAAACATGTAAGACCCGATGTCCTTCCAAAAAATTTAGAGAAACCAATGGTTAAAAGCGCGATGTCCAAGAAAACGGATTCCGGATTGGCAAGAAAGTTGAACGACAAGTTTTTAGATCCTATGTTTTCCCCGCTCTTTGCGGATGACGAAATTCTCAGAAATTTTCCAAAAACGTACATTTTGTCTACGGAGATAGACTGCTTACGGGACGATGCCTTTTTCCTCGCTGAAAGATTACGTCAACTGGACGTTGACGTCACGCATCGTCATTGGACCGGAATGGACCATTCATTTCTGTTCCTCGAGTTTTATAAGAACTCTTTTAAAGCCTTGCAAGAAATCATAACTTATTTGGATAAAAACTTATAGAAATGAAACCATACCTTTTGTTGATGGAATAATTATATTAATGTACTCGAATCGTATGTAATTTTAAGAAGAAAACTTGTGTTTATATGTCCCGATGTTCTTTGTATTAATATTGATTAAACAGTTTATGCCTGGAGTTCAAATTCGATTGGTACTTTAATGAATTTTGGAACATTGCTCAGATTAACAGAAAACGCAGAACCTTGCTTCTCCTTAACATGAATTCGATTCGTAGATTGCAATCATGGTAGAATCGTACGGGAACGATAGTATTGTAACCTGATCATACGTCAGGTTTCTTTTGGAATTCATAAATGGACAAAAGAGAAACAATGTCTTTAGCTAAAATTGGAAGTACAAGCAAATGTTGGGGTTCATATGAGAATGAGAAATGACCAAAATAAAATGGTAATCGAGATAATCATTAGCTCAGTGAGTAGACAATATAAGGAAGAAATCCTGAACAAGGTGGGCCTTTTGATAACTTAACTTTTCTCGTAATTTCAACAAGGTGGATTAAGAAAAGTTTCAACTCAAAACTTTTATACATGTATTTACATGTACGCTGCAGTGTCTAAGTGGAAACTAAGACATAATATGTAAGGTTTTGGTTTTATGGTAACTTTTTTTCTGAATGTTTTACATTTATTTACTTTTTCATACAAAAATGCTGTCATAAATTTTTACTACATGTGTACACGGCAAGTCAACACAGTGTATGATGTCATGATGTCGTTTGCATGATGAATGGGTGATTTTAATAAAACCCAGAAGCAAAGTCAAAGTATGCATGTTTACATAACTTTATTGGCAAAAAAATCCTTGAAAAAGATTTGAAAACAATCATCAAATCTCATACATATATCACAGACTTATCATGTGCAAGTATTCACATACCACAAAAAACAGCAACAAAAACTTATATAAATACAATTAACGTGTCGACTTTACAAGAAAGAAAGCAACCATTGCTGTTGCTGCGAAACCAATAACAGTTTTGCTCAGATTGCTGGATGGAGCACTGAACAGGACAGTATTCCCCACTTGCTGTTGTCTGCGTAGCTCTGTCTTTGGTAAATCTTCATTTGTTGTAGAGTCCTCTGTGAAAGGCTCTGTATTTCCCTTGGGGGGATCATTGTTATTTTCGAAATATTCATTGATATGACAGTCCTGTGTAGTAACATCACTGCACAACTCATCAGCCTCATGGTTGAGAGCAATTCTTTCACAACATTGATCGTTATCACCATAAGATTGCGCAGGTCCATCAACCTCAGGTGAAGGATCCAGGGACATTAGCTGCGTTCCTCCTAATATAACGCCAGAGTCATAATGTCTCTCGTCTTTCATTGCATGACTTCCGTTTGAACCGGAACTTACGTCAGTAAGTATACTGTTTGAATTCCATGAAGCAAAACAAAGTGTTGACTCTTCCAGATAACTCTGCTGACAACTCTCCTGTCTAGCAATGGTTGTGACGTCATGAGGATACTTCGTGGTATTCCAGTCTAGATGGCTTAATTCCTTGAGGTGACGTAAATCTTCCAAAATATCGTTCCTCTCTATTTCTTTCAAAACACAGACGAGTCGTCCGAGATCAAAAGCTCGATTTTTTGCGAGGTCACTGTAAAATTTTGTAGCATGACTGCCGTCCTTATCTGCATATACCTCAAACCGTTCCACTTGTTCTACGGTGTAGCCTGAGAAACAAAACAATAAAAATATAAATTAAACAATTGCAACAGGTTATTTTTTGTTAAAGTGTTTATCTACCGAAGGATTAAATAATTAAGCATGTGAAAAATCGAATATCCTTTACCTAAATGAGATGCCAAATCCTTCCACTTGGAGCCCACGTCCAGTCTCTTTAGAACGTTCAGAACAGGGTAAGGTAGCTTATCGAGAGGTGTTGACCAATCAATCCTTTCTTTCCTTTCTGTTAAACATTCAATAATGTGCTTTAACAAAAGTTCAACAAACTTAAAAAAAACTATGAAATAATCTACGAAAGTTACTTTGAAATAACTAACTAGATTTCTCTGTTTTATAAGCGTGTTTTCCTCTTTTCTTCCCGTGCAGTTCCGAGAGAGATTCGAGATCTGCCTCTAACAAATCAGCGATATTATCCATGTCGACTTCAGAATGTCGTAAAGCTGCAATGAGCTGTTCCCACCATCTATCTTTCCTCTGTAACTCCTGCAGTAACAGATCGCTTGCTGACACTTGACCCTCGTTATCTAATCTGCACCTTATCTTTTGCTAAAAAAAAAAAAAATTAACACTTTGATAATTCACTCATTTCTGTTTTAAACTTTTGTAAATATTTACTAGTATAAGTTTGAACTAAATGATGTACCAAAGAAATGATAGTAGTGTTTGAGAAGGCAACAGTTTGACTCTTTTATGTCCAGAAGTATAAGATTTTGATAATTTTGATGGTTTTGTCCCAAACCCTCAAGTCCAGAGGACAGAAATCATGAAATTCACTCACTGATGTTCAGAGGTTTATGAAGAAAAGTTAAAATGCATGTATGAAAGTCTTCGACCGACAAATTAATGACGACCATCAAACGACGAAAACAAACAGCTAGTTTAACTGGGTAACTCTGGTGATCAAAAGCAGGTTTCAGGACCAGGTCCAAAAATCCGCTTAAAAGACAAAAGTTATTCCTTTCCACCCTTTCTAACGCTATCTTGAACGGAATGTATGAGTTGAAACATTACGAAACATATTTCAGTCTAAATTAGTTTTGAAGAAGACATTCTAACCTTTGTCGTTGTTGAAAGACATGTAAGGTGTGGTAGTAGCTCTCTGGGACACAAGCGATGTATGAGCTTGACAAGGTTGTCCCGTATAATTCGTGTCCGGCATTCATCTATGGACAGGATAGACATGGTCCGGAATGCTGTCTTTTCTATAGAGGCAGGAGTTCAACACGGCAAAACAGGAAGGTTGTCAATTCAAGGTAGACCTGCTGAGCATTAAGAAATTTTCATTTCGTAAGTGAATTTGTAGCTGCAGTTCTGCACTGTGGCTTGCTGGTATGAAAAAATTGGGATGGACGACTAATATATCTGACAATATATTTTTTCGGAGAGCTACGGTTCTGTAGCTATATAGTGAATTTGGACATACATTCGCACACATACAGCTAGAGCACGAGAGATATTTTATAGTTACATATTATTAAGTAGTTCATCATTATGTTTTTTTTTATATTTTGCTTTCCCTGAATGTTATAAACAAGAGGCCCATGGGCCACAACGCTCATCTGAGAAACTTTGGCAATGCTGTTCTTCACAAGGTTTTCCCCCTTGTACGTACATGTTGCAATACCTCTTATGGCTAAATCCTTATATGTCTGGGGTCATGTTTTGAACAATTTAAAATCTTAACTATCCCAGGATCTTCCATATAAGTTTCAGCTTTTCAGGCCCACTTGTTCTTGAGAAGAAGATTTTTTAATGACCCCACTCTATTTTCGGATTTTTCTTTAATTTTCTCCCGTTGGAAGAGGGTTTGGTCCCTTATTTTAACAATTCAAACTTTACTTCACCCAGGGATGCTTTGTATAAAGTTCGGTTAAAATTAACTCAGTGGTTCTCGAGAAGTTGAAAATGTGAAAAGTTTACAAATGGACAACAGATGATCAAAAAAGCTCACTTGCAAAGTATACATCGAAAATCAGTAGGGCCGCTTTCATCTTTTATTATTGTGTACTACAAAAGTCGTCCACCAGACGATCGAGACTGAACGAAACAAGAATTTGTAGTACCTTCTCTCTTTTTGTCACCCTTCAATTTTCATTACTCCTCATATTAATTTGCATAAGTTAACTAGCTCTAAATTAAGGACGTTATATTCGGTCATACACACCAGTGAGAGATCTGGTTTCTTTTTTGAATTTTCTATCTCAAAGAGCCATAGTTCTGCAGCTTCAACAGTACATATAAATAACATCTAATAGGTATATTATTACACATAAAATCAAAAAAACTTTAATCTAGGTTCATGTAAGACATCGGTTGGATTATTTAACAGCTCATGTAAGGATATTGTGTTCTTGGAAGCAATAGGTTTTCAATGCATTAAATCAAACATCAGAATATTGTACATGTACTTTCACTTTACGATATATCTGTAAAAATATTGAAGAGCATGTTATCAACTTTTATATCGCACACCTATAATTGCTTAAAATAGTTTCTTCACTATAAAATATACGTGCATCACAGGTAATATAGGTGTATAAATAGCGTACACTTATGAATATATCCAGAGTTTCGGAATTTTGTTACGTAAGAAATGCACTAAATATAAATATTAAATGAGTCCAAGATGTCAGCTACATGTATTTAGAATTGCTATTTTGTTTGTTTGTGTGCTTGCTTGTTCAAATTTAATTGAGATTTTTAAACTGTCGAACATTTTCATGTTCGATAACATGGATTTACACGTACAGTAATCAGTATATTCTGATATAGATTCATACAATCGCAAGTACATCAACACTGTAAGCGCACAAATCTCTTGGATGGATGTAAACAAATACTTATTTTAAATGCGTGGGTGAGTTACTAACACAAAATATGCTACTTTTACAAAGTACATAACACGACTTGATTTCAGAAAATCATGAACACTAGGAAACGCCGTGAATCACGATGACTAATACCTTCAATGTAGAAATCCTCCATACAGAATACACGAGCGACGTTATCGCTGTTGTCTTTCCTTTATCAGCTGACAATAATCAAACAGTGGAAAACGAAAGTATGGGTTTCAGTAAATCTATAAATAGAGTGACGTTCCGTCATAGGGAAACCATTTAAAGCTGCGCGTGGATCAAACATTTTTACGGTTAACTTTCGATTTTCTTCTTGAACTATATATTTAAAAATTGGAAAGAAAGTGATTGTTACTTCATGAATTAAATTTCTTATAATAACATGAAAAAAATAATTTTTAGATGCCGGAAACATTTAAATTTGTACACGTACACAAACACGTATATAGATATACTGAGTATTCAGTCTTTTTGGTTCAGATTAATGTTTAAAAAAACTGGTTCATTCAAAGTAAAGTTTCGATCAGTTAAGGAATATATAATATAGATTGCTAGTCTAGCTGGTATTATGTTTAATAATCAGTTTAATTTAAATGTATAGGCCTATAGCCGTTTTCAAAAAAAATGTTTTACAAAGAAATTGTTTCGTAATATTTTTTTCAAATCGTTGTATAAAATAAACTTAAAGATGAAGCAAGAGAAATTATAGGATTAACGAAATAATGAATCGAGTCTTTAATTGTGGACAACACATAAATTAAATTTTAATCTGTCCTACAGTTATCACTATCACCATGTAGACTATTAATTTATTTAATTGTCTTTTTTTTTATCTTTTATTAATTTATTTAATTATCTATCTATTATAAGAGATTCTGTACTATATCAATTTCTTATTTCAACCTCTCATATTGGCCGCTCTTGGTCTCTGGAGAAATTTTTAATGGTTTTCTTTGTCTCACTTTTATTAAATAAATTTTATTATTTACACATGGTCATTAAAACTATTAAAATACTTTCGTACACACAATAAAAATTCTTGCATAATTCTCATTTTCTCTTAACCTTTTTCACACAAAAATTTGCATTGATAAACTATCAAGAAAGAATGATAAAGGGGAATAACTTCTCTAAGTATACAAATTAAATGAGCACTGTCTGGGACCAGAGCACTTGATCAAATGGTCTAGATGTTCAAGAATCTGGTGAAAGATACCCTTTCATTTTAAAACTTAATATGTTTGCCTCTGATATACTCAGGATCGGAAAAGGTCTCGAAGATTTACAAAGACCACAAATGCAAAGTTTTAAAAAGTTTGTAAGAGGCACCCTCACACCCTATTACTGGCAACTGGTGCATCAATTAGTCTAACCTTTTCCCTCACTTATCTACCGGGGGCATTAGAGAGTTCCACTTCCAGTCAAAAATGGCGGGTACCTGCAACAAGTTCGCTTACAAGTAAAGAACGTTTACAAGTAAGTTTACATGGTAGCAGAGCGTGCAGGAAACAAAGAAACACAAAATAATGTCGCGGCTAACAACTTCAAGAATCCACCCACGTTTGATCCGAAAAACGTCATACGAAACATGGAAGAATGAAGTAGAAGTATGGCGGTTAGTTACAGAACTCAACAGGTTGGGACCAATCGCCCAAATGGAATATAATAGTCCATTTGGGATATAATATCCCAAATGGGCTATAAATTTACAGTGCAAAAATTAAAAATTTTTATTTTGGCAATAAATATCATAAATCCGCATCAAAACACTTATAAAAAGGAATAACTTTTGGTTGACAAGTTTTCCTGTATGTCATTTGTTTAGATGATCGATCCCTAGGAAGTTCCTTAACTTCTTGGGGATCAATCTAATAAACGGTAGGGTTGCAGAAAAACTTGTTTACCAAAAGTTATTCCTTTTTAAGTGTTTTGATGCGGATTTATGATATTTATTGCCAAAATGAAAATTTTCAAAGTTTGCACTGTAAATTTATAGCCCACGGATATTATATCCCAAACGGACTATTCTATCCCATTTGGGCGATTGGTCCCAACCTGCTCAAAGCGGAGAAGCAAGCGTTAGCAGTTTCACTCTCACTGACCGGAAACGTAAGAGAAACGGCGATGGAACTTCCAGCAGAAGATCTTGCTGACAAAGAAGGTATGAAAAAGTTGATGGAATATCTGGACAAGGTATTTTTACGAGATGGTAAGGACAAAGCCTATGAAGCTTACAAGAACTTCGACTCGTTTAGAAAATCAGAAAGTAAGTCAATGTCAGAGTACATCATTGAATTTGATAAACTTTACAATAAAGCCAAGAAGTATGGGATGGCACTTCCAGGAGCGGTTTTAGCGTTCAAACTTTTAGACAATGCAAGACTTTCATCAAAGAAAAAACAGCTTGCATTAACAGCTGCTAGTGGATCAGAGGATCTTTGGGGAATGTGTTGGAACAGATAGTAATGTAAGCACAAGTATAACTGTAAAACAGGAACCGATTTTCTATACCCGACAGAGAAAACAGTGCAGATACAGTGCAGACGCAAAAGGAAAACAGCGAGGAACAAATCCTTTGAATAAGTTTGGAAAGCAAACAAAATGTGCAATCTGTCAAAGCGTATTCCATTGGGCTAAGGACTGTCCGGAAAAGAATTCTGTGACAATAACGGAACACAATGCGGTAACAGTGGAAGATTGTAACCTGACACTTCTTACCACAGAACAACCCTCGGCAAATGAAATTTTTATCCGTGAATCAACCGGAACTGCATTAATAGATACAGCGTGCACTCGGACAGTATGTGGTGAGAAGTGGTTCAACGGATTCTGTGAAGAAATGGGCAAGAAGATTTCGACCACACCAAGTCATCGAGCATTCAAATTTGGGGATGGAAAAATTGTGTATTCTTTCGTGCTTCTATACATGCTGTGATAGGTACCATTCATTGTAAAATTGACACATAGATTGTGAAAGCTGATATTCCACTTCTTTTGAGCAAACCATCACTCAAGAGAGCAGGAGCCATTTTGGACTTGAAAAACGACAAAATATTGATGTTTAATCAACCGATTGAGCTAGAGTTACATCAAGTGGGCACTTTTGTGTGAAGATTTTGGATACAGGTGTTAAAGGAGGGAACACTGCAATGAGATCTGAGGAAGTGTTGGAAGTAGCACAAAACTTGAGCCCTGCAGAAAAGGAAAAGATACTAACTAAACTTCATAAGCAGTTTGGCCATGCCAGTAGTGAACGCCTAGCACAGTTGCTGAGAAATGCAGGAACAATAGGCAAGGAAACATTGAACTTGCTGCGTACTGTATGTGACTCGTGTCAAGTTTGTTTGATCAACAAAAGACCTCCAGGAAGGCCAGTGGTTGGACTTCCTCTAGCGACTGAATTCAATGAAATGGTGGCTGTTGATCTACATGAACTAGAGCATGGGACACGGTATTTACACCTTATCGATGAATTTTATAGATTCAGTGCTGGGAGCATTATGAAGTCGAAGAAGTCTTTTGAATTTGTTCAAAATTTTCTGAAACTTTGGATAGCAGTGTATGGACCTCCAAAATGCCTTTACAGTGACAATGGTGGTGAGTTTAACAATAAGGAGGTGCGGGATATGGCTGAAAATTTCAACAGCAGAAATAAAGACAACAGCAGCTTACAGTCGGTGGAGCAATGGCTTGATTGAGAGACACAATCAGACACTCACGTAAATTCTACATAAAGTAAAAGCAGACAACCGCTGTGATTGGGATACAGCTCTTAGCTGGGCGCTCATGGCAAAGAATGCTTTGAGCAATGTACATGGATTCAGCTCTCACCAGTTAGTGTTTGGAAGTAATCCACGCCTGTCCAGTGTTTTGACAGACAAAGTACCAGCCCTCGAGGGGACTACCATGAGTGCATTGGAAGCAGAACACATTGAAGCTTTACACTCAGCCAAAACGGCATTTACAAAGAGTGAATGTTCAGAGAGGATTCGAAGAGCGCTAAGAAAACAGAATTGTCCAAGTGGAAACACTTTCAAGACTGGAGATAAAGTGTATTATAAGAGACCAGACAGCAGAGAATGGAGGGGTCCAGGCGTGGTAATTGGACAAACCCTAACAAAAAAAAACTTTAGTTAACTATAGTTAACTATAGTTTACTATAGTTATAACTTTGACACTTTGAAAACTTTGGTTTACTATAGTGATAACTTTGATACTTTGAAAAACCTTGGCGAAAACTTTGACACTTTGAAAAACTTTTGCGAAAACTTTGTCACTTTGAAAAACTTGATGAAAACTTTGACACTTTTAAAAACTTTGACACTTTGAAAAACTTTGACGAAAACTTTGACACTTTGAAAAACTTTGACGAAAACTTTGACACTTTGAAAAACTTTGACAAAATCTTTGACACTTTGAAAATCTAGACGGTGCAGTAGTTTTTGTCAGACATGGCGGAATATGTGTAAGAGTGCACCAATGTAGACTTGCAAAAGTTAATACAGACAGAAGTGAAAGCCAGTCAGTTTCTAATGATGTACAGGAAAGCCAATCGCAGGATGAAAAAGAAGAGAAGGAATAGTTAGACAATCGCTTTGAAAATGAAGACTCTGCATGCAGTGAAGCTGAGGAAATGGACAAAAATTTTCGTAGAAATGACTTCAGTGACAGCATAAAAATTTCAAAGGATCAAATTGTACAGTATAAAAATGCAGATAGTGGTGAAAAATGTGTAGCAAAAGTACTTGGAGGTGCAGGCAAGGCAACAGGAACAAACAGAAACTGGTTCACAAAAGGATGCAGAAATTTCTGTTGATCTTAGTAAAGTACAGGAACTTGAAACAGATCTCAAGAAATTTCTTGACCCGCTAAAATTACGCACTTGCAACACACTTATTAAACAAAAAAGACCATCCATATTTAGCATGCCGTAAAGAACCTTTTATCACAATCAACAAGAAATATGACATAAGACTAGCAGTTTTAATTATACAAGCTCAGTTTCACCAATTTTTCTTTAACAACGATTGAAATTTAAGTTTATTCTGTTCTTATTTTCATATTTTTATATTTTACAGAAAAATAGTATAATCAAAATGGGAAACCAGGGAACGAAAGTAAATGAATGTTAAAAATAGGCAAAAATATGATATAAATCAGGTCTCTGTCACAGCAAAAAACAACTTTGCTGTCTGTTGTCCAAGTTGCGTCGGCAGCCACAGTT